TCTGCAGCTCACATGGTGGTTTCAGAGGTGGGGAGAGGCTGTTTGGTGCTCGGGACCTGTGCAGCCCTGGCTGTCAGGCTGCCTGCCCTGCCCCTGCCTGGGAGCGGAATGGCCCAGCTCGGACGGGCCCCATGGAGTTCTGGGGCACTGAGCTCTCATTCATGGCAGCTAACACAGAGCTGCTCTAGGACTATATTTATGTGTACAGGCATGATGTTTTGTACACTTGGGGATTTTTTAACTTTCATTTGTTCCAAATAGTCTGTTGTGATGGGCAGAGTTTTAAAATAAAAATATGTTCTGTAAGAGTAGCTAGATCTAGTATACAAAGTGCCACCAGTACTCATCCTTATTTTTGATGGTATTTATCCAAACCTTGATTTGTTACTTCAGAAGGAAGAATCTTAGTGGGAATGAGTGCCATGATTCTGTTGGTAAATGAAGTCAGTGCCTGCACTGACAGTAGGGAGCCTTTCTGTTCTGGGGCAGCTCAGCTAGCAGCAGAGCACACATTTCCCAGTGCAGAGCGGCAACATGTCAGGAGACTCGCTTTAAAACCTCTCCTAAACAGCAAACAGACATAGTTCCCTTAACCTGTTCTATTCAGCCTGGTCTGCACCTCACAAATGGTAGGTCAGAGGGCAGAAAATCAATGGCATTCTACCTTTGGTCTTGTTCAGTGTCGTAGATACTTCTTGGCAGCCCTCCAGGCAGTGTCTCTAAAGTGCTTGCACAGCTCTAACACAGCCAGTCCTGGAGTTTTACAGCTCAAGTGAAGGGCCAGGTAATGTGGCATTTGGTGATTCATATGGTCTGGTAAATACTTTATTTTCCATAAGTACCATTATTCTTCTTTTCCCCACTCAGTAAAGGAGAGAGGGATGGATGAAACCAGAGAGAAAATAGTAAGATAGTCAGATGACAGTTTGGGGGAGAGAACAAAGTTTGGAGTTCTGGCCTGAGGGAAAGTGGGAAGACTTGTCATTGCAGCAGTGGTTACTTTTAATTTAACTCCATGGATTGTAGAAAAACTGTGAGCACTTTAATTACATAATGACCTCTAAAATGAAGGTGAACAGAAATGCTGAATTCATAGAACACATTTCTAAGCTGTCAGCCAAATTTTCTGAGTGAAACCCGTTATCAGCACAGAGAGAGGAAAATGAAGCTTGCTGTATGGAACTTTTCGTTACATTTTTTGAGATCTTTATTGGGTATTAGAAGGCAGAGGAGAGAATTTGTCTCATGTCTTTATCAGAGTGCTGCAGTCTCAGCTGTTCCAGCAGATTCTCTCATGCAAGCTGTGCCAATCCAGTGGCTGCAGGGAAGGGGCAGGCTGTGGGCGAGTGTGTAGCCTTGCTCCTGTTCCTGCCCCATGGTGCCAGTGAGGTGGCACAGGAAGAAGTGTGTGGGCACCACAAAAGCTTGCTGGCAAAGACACATCTTTGACTGGAAGCACAGGGCAAGCCAGATTTACAGTCTGCTAATAAAGCAGCAAAATGGCTTAGTTTGAGAAGGTATGCATGCTTCCATCACCTGCTGTAAGTGGAAGCAGAGTGGTGGAACAGGGAAACATTTGGTCTCTGGAAAAGCAGGAGTTCTGAATGAGTGTTGGGGACTAATGTAATCATCCAAATGGTTTGCTTCCTGCCTCGCTGTGCTAACATGCCACTCTGCATGCCTGGCTGCTTTTTCTAACGAGAAGGTTTTTCCCTCCTTGAAAGACAGAAAAGCTGAGGGGGAGCTATTAAATTCTGAAAGCTATATTTAGCTGGGAGCAATTAAAGCTAGCACTGTATAATGACACTTGAGATTAGCTTATCCATCAGGCAAACAGTAAGATTTTAATGTTTGGTTTCAGTCAGACTTGGCATTACTGTTAACTTCTGCTTACATTCATGAAATTGCACATTTTAGAAGGTGTGTCTGGTGCAGGTTGTTCTGGAGAAGTTATTTGCTTGCTTACCGTTCCCACTTTGTTCCTACTTCCATTTTCAGTGTAAACCTTATAGTCCCATGTTGCTTTTGAAAGAGATAGTTCTGCTCTACCCTCCAGTCAGCAGATGCCTGGTTTGCTCTTTTCATCATCTTTATGCTTGCAGCATGTTGATGCAGTGAAATGACTCTGCAAACACTATGGCTAAAAATTTGGCTTTTTCCTTCTTCAGTTATTAATGGTATTAATTTTCTACTCTAATTCCTCTCTGTAGTGCTGTTGCTACTGGCTTTAGTAGAACATGCTGAGGGCATAAATGGCTAACTTTGAGAAGGGAGGGAACTGGCTGGTTCCTCCCCAAGAGCCCAGTTGTGCTTGATGCAGACTTACACCAAATTGCAGTCTATTGCCAGACTGAGTCTTTGTTACACTCCTGGTAGGCTCTTCTGGAAACAGTTAGAAATATTAGTCCTTCCTTAGGACTAATACAGTACAAACCAGCTTAATTAATTGCTGTAGATTTGTTAAAAGGTCACTTATTGCATGTTCATTCTTTTTTTTTTCTCTTGGGTACCAAATAATTAATTTTCTCCATTCTGCATTAAATGAACATCCCTCTGTGATGCTCACGTGATCTATGGCCATCCACTGCCAGATCTGTTTATTGCTCAGTTTGTTCTTCTATTCCAGTGCATCAGGCTCTAAAGTTTTTCTGGTTTAATGTTCTTGAGTATGTCTGTACAACTATGGGTTACTTTTTTGTTACACAGGCACAGAAAAAGTTAAAAATCAATCAACAGTGCATTAAGCTGACCTGGATTTCCCAGATGGTTTTAGAATTTGTGTACCTGTGTTGCAAAATATTCAGAAACAAAATCACAGGAGTGCTTCTTTATGCTCACTGCTCAGAAGAGATCTCTTGAGTGCAGTGGTTTGGGGACCAAGGGGGAACATGGAGCCTTTTTTGGACCAGCATCTGTTGGGGAAATTTCATTTTGGAAGGAGGAAAACTTGATGTCTATGCAAAAATGGGGAAGGACTGTGGAATGCCTTAGGCATCACTTGGCTTTATGGGGTGCCTAAGTGGTTGATACCTTGGCTTCCTGAGCTGCTGATGGCCTAAGGTGCCCAGTGAAGGGTGCTTGTAGGCTGCGTCTCCTTATATCTGTCACATCCTTTTAGGGTCCCTCTTACTTCAATATGATATGTCATATACTCCTAGTAACTAACATAGTTCTTTGTAACCTGTATCAGATAATTTTTTTCACTGTTTTTCTTAGTGTTCATGCAAACAGCACAGAGAATTCAAGGCACAAATTTTTCAGATCTAGCTTGTTGGGTTGGTTTTTTTTGAAGGCTTTTTGTAAGGTTATTCTGTTGCCTTAGCCATGAGAAGTTTTTAACATATGATTAGTTGGAAGTTTTGTATGTAGAACAGCTTAATTTTTGAGTTACTGGGAAAAATGCCAGCCATAGATTTGGGAAAGTCTGAGTAATAAAATCATAAAGCTGGTTCATCGCTCAAATATGTTGTTATTTCAGCTGCCTCTGCCCACTGCATGTTCCTACAGGCTAAAAATGTCAATAGGCTCTTATATTAATAGCTATTTTAAGACTCTAGTCTTAAAAAGCAGTACAATGAAAGAACCTTAGATTAATCAAAAATATCAAAGTTGACACATCAAGTGTTCTTTCTTACTCTAGTTTAAAAAACTTCCACCCTTAATACTTAGATGATTAAAAATACACAAGTTCATGTGTTGAATTATCCTAAAATTAAATCACAGATGTTTAAGCTACAAACCAGATGGGAACAGTGGCATTTTTAGGAATCTATATAGAAGAAGCAAGAAATTGAGTGTAAAATGTGAAATTAGGAGATATTAAATGTAGACAGATGATAGGAGAAGGCAAAAGTATAGCTCAACACTCTGAGTCGAAAATAGGGAAAAGAATTTCCTTTTTCCTTGGAAAAGATGCAAAGACTGTAAGAATAATATTAAATAAGGGCAGTAATGTCAATTCAAGAAATGCAGAAGAATTTAATTTCATTACTGAATTAAAGCTGTAGTCTATGACAGCATGTAGAAGTAATAGCTAAGAAAAAGTTAAATGGTAACGGTAACTGAAATTCAAAATTTTTATCACAAGTAATTTGAAGAATTCTCTTTTTCTCGATTTTGGAGAAAGATCAGGAAAGCCTCAGCCTCAGAGAAAGCTTAACAGTGTGCTCGTTTCTATAAACAGTATGTGGTAGTCAGACACTGGTTTGTCTGGGGCTGATTGATTGCAGACTTTTGGAAAATTTATCATCAAGCTGATATGGGAACTGACTCGGGGCAATAGAAATTCAAATCTAATAATTGTAATGAAGAACCATGCAGACCATGAAAATAAAGGCAGACTAAACCATTGTTCCTTTTTTAGCTGAAATGGAGCACGTTAAACTTTGTCATAATGTCTTTTTGGTAGTGTTCATGTTGTACAGAAAAGTCTTGCAGGCTGCTAAAACTGTAAAATTGGATGGTCCTCAGAAAAAGTGCATTTGACTAAACATCAAAGCCCTGTGTTAGTTGCTTCAAAGCAATGGCTGAATAATGTTACAAGTTTGTAAAGAGTAATACCCCGGCATCTATTTCTGTTCAGCATTCTTCTTTCTTGTTTTAGTGCTGACAAGGTGTTTGGGTGGGTTCCCCACAGCCTCAGTAGCGTTACACACTTGTGCAGAGTTCTGCATCTTTGGAGAAAGGAGGGTTTCTGTTACAAAATGCATTGCTCTCACACTGTATTAGTAGACTAAACACAACTTGCTTAATTGTATGCAAGAATGTGGGTAACCTGAATTTTTAATGCATATTTTTAAGGGAAAAAAAGTCACCTGTAGATGCTGTAATTTAGGGAAATGTTTTGGGAGGGGAGAATACACAAAAATCAAGGCAGAAAAATTTTCAGCTATTCATATATCCTGCTTGTTACTTCCCTTGTGCTTCTCAGGTATAAAACGACAATGTATGTCGACAATGATGTTTTATTTCTCATCTTATTTTTTTGGTTTGTTTTTCAGATCCAACGCAAGACTCATGTGAGCTTGCCACATCTTGCCCAATGGAATAGCTCATCCTTTCACTTCTGTGAGAGAAGAGATTTGGATTCTTCCTGGTGGCAGTGATCCTACCCACTCACTGTAAGTCAGCCATCCTTCTCTCACAGCTGTGCTGCCCTCCTTCTGGGAAAGAAGAGGTTAAATTGCTGTGGAGCCTTCCAGCCTAGAAAGAGCGTGATCAAAGAAGCTGTCTAAGAAGCTTCCTGGTATGAAGAATCACTCAGTCAATGGAGAATGAGAGGGGTCTGCAGTGTAGCTGAGAAGGGGCAGCAGTTCATCCCCTTTTGGGGTAAGACGTGGTGCTTAATTAGATGTCTACAAGAATAGAAGAAAGTAACAAAGAAATAGAATAGGTAAACCTGAAGTTGTGCTTATGTAACGTTTTATTCTGCTTAGACAAGGGTAATTGTTCAAAAATACCTCAAAGGTGTGTTACTTTTGAGGGAAATGGGGAAAAAATACCATTTGTTGGGTTGTACTGTGTTTGGGCTCCCTTCAGTCCAAGGCTTTGGGGTTTTCACTGATCACCCACTGAGTCAGGAAGGGGGACTCTCACCCACTGCAGCACTGGACTGTGTGGTTTGTGTCTCATTCTGAATGCTCTCTCTAGACTGCAGCCAAATATAGGACTTGGGTAAGGTTGAGATTATGTTATCAGTGACATTGAAAAACTTCTTGTACTGCTGGTGGGATTTTTTGCCTCAGTGTTCACTAATTGTGAGATTTAGCACTGGGAGAAAACTCTGTCCTGAGTCATAATTCCATGGCACTTGTGGCATTTTATCTTCTCTAATAGTATGTAAATGTAGTCACAATGCATTCTGAATACTTAACAATTTCTCTCTTGGTGTAGGAACATTGATAATGTATTTGAACTTTCTGGCTAGCTGTTTGGGCTGCATTTCAACTTTTAACATTTGAATTTGTTCATGTGTTTATAAATATATCTATTCTTGTCTTTTTAAACCTGTAGGGACTAGATTAGTATCTTAGAGCACATAAGCTGGTTAGGATGTTTTAGGCCTTATGTGCACGTAATTTACAAATTTTATTGCAGTTTTGGAAGGCTGGGTGTTCTGAACTTTGCAGTTCTTATAGTCCTGTGTATAAATTGATGTTTTTAAAGTCAGTCTTAATAGACTTACGTGGATCTCATACTTGTAGACCAGAATAGAGCACTGCTGTTTGCACTAATTTCTTACTGCATTTGAACCTTTGTTTATGTAGGCTTAATCACTGTTTAAACTTGGTGAATTTTTAGGCAGAATCTCTGTTTCTCTTGTGAGCATGTAAAAGGTATCACTGGCTCTGTGGTGCCCAGGAGGAACTTGGTTTCCTCTGGAAAGCTGGAGATGAGTCATGAGAACTGAAGTACGGAGCAGGCACAAGGACTGAATCTTTGCTGGATGTGACTGCTGTAAAGCACATTAAAAACCACATATGTTTACAGCTTCTCTAAATTAGAAGCTGTAAAGGTGTCAGTGGAGGAGAGCAAGGAGTGGAAAATACTTTCACTTGGTTGTTTCTGTTGGTAGGTTCTGCCATGCTGCTCCAATGGGAGGTGCCCAGTTGCATAGGTTCCTTTTACCTGTGAAGATAGTGGAGTTTATCAACACTATTATAAAACAGCTCACTGATAAAGTTGGGAAGTTTTATGTTTAAGTAGCAAGCCAAAGATTTTTTTATTGCCTAATGACTTTCAAAACATTTCTGGACGAGGCAGAAATGAACACAGACCTGCCCCACCCTAGTGTGCAACGTGTGGCAATTTTATTTACAGAGGGGGTTCCTGTGGAACAGATAGGCTTGTGAATTCACAGGGAGTCATGCAGGAAACCTGTGAAAAACTCTGATCAAGACCTTATCTGCTTGTCCTAATCTTTCCAGTGTTCCCCATTGAAAGCCAACTTGGATAGCAGGGTGGTAGATTTACAGGGATACAGAACTGACAGCATTTGAACAATTACAAAAAGGGAATTTCTCATTGCTCCTCTAACAGTGGCAGCAGAATACTGAAATGAGAATTAGGATTTACTTTAACTGTAACACTTCCATTTCCATATTGATGCAGTGCAATCCTGTTGGTGTATGTTCTTGGAATGCATTAATATTTTGTAACACCCTGTTTTTTGAGATTCATTGAATCTCACATTAACACATGGAATGATTTCACTAAATAGCTCTGTGTCTTCTGAAAAAGGAAAGAAACAGTAGCTGGTGCTCAAAGTGAATTCACCTTGAAGTGGCTATTTAAATTCATTTTTACAAGCTTGAAAATTGAATCTATGGCTGTTACAGAAGCAACTTCCATGTCACTGAGCCCTTAGAGGAATTCCTTACTGCTCTCCTGAATGTGGGAAAATATAGTGAAAGAATGATCCTCAGTCCACTTTTTTTTTTTTTAAAAAAAAGAAACTTCATGGAAAGCCTTGCGTATTCTGGTCTTTTTTGGTATTTTCTGTTAGTTTTGCCAACCTAAAATTCCAACCTGAGTTCTTTGGTATAAATATTATGTACCTCGACTATTTGGTTTTATCTCACTTGTGAAAGGTATTTAATTTTACTTTTTCAGCTGAATATCAGCAGCTCAATGCTGTCTGCTGCTCTTTACTAATAGTGTTATATGAAAACACTTCATATAGAACAAAATTCTGTGTTAAAATACATCATTTAGTACTTCCTCTGAAGGAAAAAGAGGCCAAATCTTAGCATGCATATGCTTGTAAATGCAAAAATAATATATGTACAACCGTAGTTTTTGTGTACAAGCTCAGAACTATAAATTTAAGCCACTTCTCTCAGATGTGTTTCTTTTGGAATTAGCCATGAATATTTGTACTATCTTGTCCAGTGAATAGTAGCATAGGTAAACCTCCTCCAAAAAAAATGTGAAGAAGGGAAGAAAAAGCCTGTTTGTTAACTTCTTGTCTCACTAGTGGCTATTGAAACAAATCAGTTTTGTTATTTTTTAAGACCAAAACAAACTGTTACAGCTGAGTATAATGGATTGCATCTGTGACTGGGAGAGGTGAATAAGCAGGTTACCTACCTTATGAAAGCATAATTTGTATATTTTACTTTTATTCACAGATACTTTGGTATAAAACAGAAAACACCTGTTTAGACAGAGGAACTGTTTGAAGCAAGCAGACTGCTGATTTTATACAATCTCAGAATAAAGTCATTTTTAAAGACTTGTTTCAGTAGAAAATAAGTTTGAAATTACAAAAAGGTGAATGAAATATACATCACAAGACAGCAGGATATTATTTATCATTTAAATGCATCTTTTAGGGCAAATTGTTGCTTGTGCCAAATGTGTCAAGCTGATGTTTGGCTCGAGGTGGTGTGACAAGCTTGGTGGTGCCAAGGTGACAGACCATTCTCCCTGGATTAAGGGCAGACTATGCCACACACATCCAAATTCAGGTCTTTTTAATAGTTACTGCTTCCTACTTTGGCAGAGACCATGAACTTTAAGTGCTTGGAGTAGCTAATTAGCATAGCCAAAAGTAACTTAGGAGATCATGAGTCTTTTCTCCTGTTATGGAAACTTTCGATTCCTTAAGCTTAAATGCAGAGAAAAGTAGCAACTGCTGTGTGTCTGGTTGTTCCAGAGACAATCAGCTGGGTCACCCTTCCCATTTTAGCAGTGGGAACAAGTTGCCTTCTTACTGACATTACAGTGAGCATTTTATGAAGTGAGATTCTGCATTTTGCTTACAGAAAGTGATACAGATAGTCCATATTCCTACACCAGTGAAAATGTTTGCATCACACCCTCACTGAGCAGAAGCATGCACTTTTCATGAACTCAATCCTCTGATGTACAGAATTTTTTGCTTGGGAAAGCCAAAAGAGCTTGCATCTTCTTTTAAGAGTAGCTCTAAGAGACCACCTCTGTCTTTTAGTATATGCTTGAATGGTCTTTCAGTATATGCTTGAATGTGTGCTTCTGCCAGGCTTATCTTTTTTTAAAAAGATGGGTTAGATTTTTCCTGTCTTTGCTTATGTGGACTCTGGTAATTTATTTGTCCACCACCTGAAGAATATAATAAAGAAATAATAATAAAGAAATAATAGAAATAAAGCCACAGATACATCAGAAGGCAGATTTGTCATGTTTCAAAGGTGGCCTTTGAAATTAATTATGATCAACAGCTGTATAGCTATATAGCTTCAGGGCTCTTGTGTGCAAGAGAAATGCAGGAGGGTGGAAGAGAAGGTTCCAGTGCTTGGTGGGCTCCTCTAGTGTGGTAATGAGGATGTGAGACTGAATCCCCAATGCTGCCATGTGTAACAGTGAATGAGGGATGGATTTGGCCTCTAGTCACTGCTGTTTATTCACTGATTCCTAGTTTATATGCCTTATACTCACATTTGCTTCAGGGAAAAGGTCATATTCTTGTTTAGTTCATAAGGCAGGTTCTCATAGCACCAGGTACTTGAAGACAAAATGAAAATGAAATTGTTACCTTAGGTTGGAAAAGGCTTCCTGCTAAGCAGAAAAATATTATGATTATTGAAGTAGTCACTTCTCAAGGAGAAATAAAGATTAAAGACTGAGTAAAATGTTAACAGTATAATTTTTTTGAGCTACGTGTATAAAGCTGAGTATCTTTTTCAGTTTCAATCAGTGGACTTCTGTTACACTAATATGTTTTAATCTTATTTTATCCTTGTGTGCTTGCCCAAGAATGTAATGTCGTAGATTTTTTTGTTGCACTTCCTATCAAACCATATGAGAGGGATGAAAAATGGACAAACCTGTTCAAGTATAAGTATCAATAGTGATGAATAAACAGAGATGTTTTTATGCAATGTAAAATCTGCAGTATTTAATGAGTTTCTTTAACTTACCCAACTTTATGCATCTCACAAAATGTCTGCTGTGGAGACATGTGCATAGCAAGAACTTTTCAGAATAGAAGTACATTCTCACATCAGCTTATGTTTCAAGAACATTAACATTCTGAGAGAAATCCAGGAAAGGTGTTACCTGATAGGGAGTAAAACACACTGTCTGGTAACTTGCAGACACAATAGTGAGCATCAGAGTAAGGATGAAAATAAATTGGTGA